AGGGGAGGCCTCCGCGTGGGAGGGGCCGGGCGTCTGCGACCAGCTCCTCTGCAGACGTCATCTGGGTCACACAGCCCCGCGCTCGGTGTGTCTGCCGGCTCGGGAGGGAATGCCCAGCCCAGACCCCTTTTCAGCCGATCTCCGCGTTGGGGCAAGGTCCTCCGCGGCTGTGGGGACACTTCCCTTCCCGGGGATCCCCCCATTCCCTCTTCTCCAGCCCCTTTCCTTCGCAGGTGGAATCGTCTCCGGGACCGGAGCGCGGGCCGGTTTGCCCCCCCGGGACCATGGCCGGGTCCGACACCGCGCCCTTTCTCAGCCAGGCGGATGACCCAGATGATGGGCCGGTGTCTGGGACCCCGGGCTTGCCAGGGCCCTTGGGAAACCCAAAGTCGGGGGAGCCCGAGGTCCCGGACCGGGAGGGGCTGCAGCGCATCACGGGTTTGTCTGCGGGCCGTTCCACTCTCATCGTGGCCGTGCTGTGCTACATCAACCTCCTGAACTACATGGACCGCTTCACTGTGGCAGGTAGGCGCTGGCTGCCGGTAGGCAGGGAAGAGACCGAGGTTCCGAGATGGGGCAGCTTCGCCGGGCTCACCCCGAGTGTTCCCCGTGCAGGCGTCCTTCCAGACATCGAGCAGTTTTTCAGCATCGGAGACAGTAGCTCTGGCCTCATCCAGACCGGTGAGTGAAGGCCCATCTTGCTCACACAGCAGCTTGCACTCTTACTGCCTCACTGGGGCCAGAGCTGACCCGTCTGGGGCTCATTCGAGAGAGCTTAGTGGTCACAGCTGGGGGGCCTAATGGCCTTGATTTTGCTCTGGGACTGACTGGTCCCAGTTAGGATCTCACATTTAAAGTGTGTGTGTGGGGGGGGGGGCATAGGGCCAGGGATTTAGCTCAGCAGTTCTGCCACCTGCTTCAAAAGTGCAGGGTCCTGAGTTCGATCTCCGGTACCAAAAATAAATAAAAAATAAAGTGTGCTGGGGGGCATGACTGTAACCCAGCTCTGGGGAGACTGAGGTAGGAGGATTGAGAGTTGGAGGGCAGCCTGGGCTGCATGACAACACCTTGTCTCAGAACAGAACAAAATGAGGGAGTCAGTTTAAGGAGGGGTTGAGACAGTCCTGACTTTAAATCTCACACAGTGCTTCCCCCGGACTGTGATAGGAGGCGGGGCACGCAGCCTCTCTAACCCTCTCGTTCCTTGTCTGTGGTGACACAGACCAGCTCTGACAATGAGAGAAACTGTGCCTAACCAGTGCCCAGCGCAGTTTGGCGCGTGATAGGCAGCCAGTAGGTGATGGCTGGGAGAGGATATCTGTAGTGGGGAAGGGTGAGTTTTATTTGAGAACTTTGGGCCTCTGGGAGAGGCAAAACCAGAGCCAAGTCTTTTCTTTCCTTTCCTCCTTCATTGCTTAAATGTTTCTGAGCACCTACTGTGTGCCAGGCCCTGGAGGGAGTGGTGATAATGTTTGGCAAGATGTCACTGTCATTGTTCATCTTTTTGTGTGTGTGTGTGGTGCTGGAGATCCAAACCCAGTGTCTCACACATGCTAGGCTAGTACTGTACTTCTGTCTGTTTGTTTTGAGACAGACCTCCCTAAGTAGCCCAGGCTGGCGAACTCACAGTGATCCTCTTGCCTGAGTTTCCTGAGTGCTAGGATTATAGGCGTGCGCCATCACCCTGGCCTAGTACTGTACTTTTGAACTGTCTCCTTCCCCAAGTCTAAGATGGGCCATTATCATTTATCTTCAAATCCTCCTATCAGCTGGGGAATAGGTGTTACTATTCCTATTCTGTAGAGGAAGTAGATAGTGTTATCTACATTTTTAAAGAAAGTGAGGCTTGGAGAAGGGTTAAGCTTTGCCCAGGGTCACACAACTTGTTAGAGGCAAACTAGGAATTTGAAACCAGATCTCACAGGGTGCCTCCCCACTTGAGGCCAAGGAGGAACTGGCAGTATTTGTCTGGTGAGATGAAAACAGGGTCATAGGTCAAGGTTGCAAACCTCTGAAGAGCTGTTGCGTGAGAGGAGAAGCAGCACTTTCTAGACGGCTCCGTTTATTCCCTTTTCACTCAACATGTATTGATGGAGTGCGTCTCTTGTGCTAGTGGTGTGCTAAGAGAGAGAATCAGCCATGGCCAGTACAGGCACGGCCTTGGCTTCATGGAGCCAAAGTGCTGTGCGCTTGAGAGGGCTCAGTTAAAGTGAGACAACTGCCAGGGTTGGTAGCTCAGGCTTGTACCCAGCGCTCCGGGGGCTGAGGCAGGACGATCGCCAAGAGTTCCAGGCCAGCCTGGGCTACATAGCAAGACCCTGTCTCAAAAAAAAAAAACAAAAAAACAAAACAAAACAAAAAAAAAACCCACTTAAAATAAAACAAACAAACAAAAAAAACTAGTGAGGAACAGGATAAGGTGTTCCAGGCCAGCCTGAACTAGACAGCAAATTCAAGGCAAGTCTGGACTATGTGGCAAAACCATCTGAAAAACAATAAAAAAAAAAAAAAAAGATAACTTTCCATAAGGGTGAGTGATGTGTAAAAGAAAACAGTGAATGCACTAGACAGGGCCGGGACGTGTGGTGGTCTGGGGGTGTCTGAGCTGCAGCCAGGAGCTAGCTCAGAGGAGGAGCTGAGGGGTGGGGTGTGGGAGGTGTGAAGTCGGTGAGGCAGGGAGGATCACCTTGTGCTTCCGCTCTTCCTGCAGCTGCACCCACAGGGTGGGAGTGGGCAGCGGGGCTGCAGCGGGGCTGACTCTCTGCTTCCCCCCAGTGTTCATCTCCAGTTACATGGTGTTGGCACCTGTGTTTGGCTACCTGGGTGACAGGTACAATCGGAAGTATCTCATGTGCGGGGGCATTGCCTTCTGGTCCCTGGTGACACTGGGGTCATCCTTCATCCCCAGAGAGGTGAGGCCCTGAGCTGGCTCCTGCTTCTGGCCGCTCCCCATTCCCCGTCAGTCTTTGCTGCTGCTCCTTGGAGTCATTTCAGACTGGGCCGGGGGGACTTCTGCAGTTTCCTTGGTCCACGCCATTTGACACCCTTTCCTTGCCTGAGTGAATCTGCCCACTCCATGCTCTCCCCTTTTCTTCCAGAACTTTCTGCTGTCTTGTCTCTCTCCCTCTCCCCCTGACACTGACTCCTCTTCTCCGTATCTAAATACTCACACGTCTCTTCCATAGCAAAACTCCCCCCGGACCGCCCTCTCCCCTTCTCCCCTTCCCAAAAGGCCCCTTGAGCTTCCCAGCACCTGTGGGGGTGAAGGTACCTGCCTGCACCTCCTCGGCTTCCGACTTGAGCGCAGCCAGCTGACTTCTGCCCCACTCCAGTGGCCCTGCCGTTGCCAAAGTCAGTAGCGACATCCTCCTGCTGTTCTCACTAGATCTCTCAGGAGCCCTCAGCCCACTTCTTCCTTCCTGAAACCCTCTTCTGCTGCCACACTCTTCTGGCTTCCCTCCTGCCTCCCTGGCTGCTGCCTCTGCCCCTTCGAAATCTCCTCCTTCACTCGGCCCCGGCTCTGTCCTCAGCTCAGGCCCTGTGTGGTCATTATGCCCTGTCCTTAGCTGCAGGTGTCTTTGGTAGACACATACTCCCCCTGCCCCAAGAGTACTTTTCACCACTGAGGTAGCGGGTGGGAGGGTCACGGTAGAAACTCCGATTTATTTATTTTGTGCCTGCTGGGGACCTTGTACCGTGAAGTCCCCACACTGCTGTGTGAACAAGTTGTTGTTATTCCCCTTTTGCAGATGAGGAAACTGAGGCTCAGAGAGGTTAAGTAACTTTCTCAAAGTCACAGCTAGTAAGTGGTGGAGCCAGGATTCCAGCCAGGTCTGTCTGATTCTAAACCCAGGCCTCTCCTGCTTCCCCTGCTGCCTCCCTGGCACTGGCTGGAGAGGTCGCCTGGGAGGTTGGCTCCAAGGTGGGGTGCCACCTCCCCCGTGTCTCCTTCCATAGCGTTTCTGGCTGCTCCTCCTGACCCGGGGCCTAGTGGGGGTCGGGGAGGCCAGTTACTCCACCATCGCGCCCACCCTCATTGCCGACCTCTTCGTGGCTGACCAGCGGAGCCAGATGCTCAGTGTGTTCTACTTCGCCATCCCGGTGGGCAGGTGAGCTGCGAAGGCCCGGCGGGAGGCGGGAGGCCGGAGGCTGGGGGCCTTGACTGGTGGCTTGGTTGTGCCCTCAGTGGCCTGGGCTACATTGCAGGCTCCAAAGTGAAGGATGTGGCTGGCGACTGGCACTGGGCTCTGAGGGTAAGTCGGTGCAGACTGCGCGGAGGCTGGTGACCATCCCGGTCTTCTACTTCCTGACCTTGGGTCGCCTTTTTGCGGCAGTGCTGACTGCCAGGCCGCAGGAAGTCGTGTTCTAGACAGAGCTCTTGTCACAAGTGTCAGGAGCCTCTGTAAACTGTGAGCCCCCGCAGGAACTGTATTGGCTTTCCAGCCGGAAATTCCCAGGGTGGTCTCCAGGCAAAGCTGAGCCAGGGTGCCCCCAGGTCCCCAGGGTTTGATGGTTCTCTGCCCAGCTTTTCTTTCCTCTGCGTTGACTTCATTTTTCAAGTGTGTGAGCTCCAGATGATTCTCTTTGAATTGAGCAACTCCAGCACCTTGAATCCTTGAGCAATAGTCACAGGATTGCACCTGATTAGAAGAATGTGGGTTACAGGTCGGGGTGGTTGACAGTCCCTTTTTTGGCCAAGTCTGACGTGCTGTTTGGTCCATGTGGATTGACAGAAATAGGGGAAGTGGTTTCCCAAAAGAAAAATCAGGATCCTGTTGGCAAAGGGGAAGTTAGACTTGCGGGAGCAGTGGCAAGCCCTGCTTCCCAGATCGAAGCAGGGAGGGCTCCTCTCCTCTACGCCCTCACGCCCCCAGCCCCCATGGTTGCATGTCCTTGTCCCTGCCTGCCCTGAAGCCCATTTCTCCTCCAGGTGACACCAGGCCTGGGGGTGGTGGCTGTTCTGCTGCTGTTCCTGGTGGTGCGCGAGCCGCCCAGGGGCGCTGTGGAGCGGCACTTGGATTCTCCGCCCCTGAGCCCCACCTCGTGGTGGGCAGATCTGAGGGCTCTGGCAAGAAAGTGAGTTGGATCCCTTCCTGCCTGCCAGACCCGGAGCCAGCAGTTTGACCACCCTGTTCCCTTGTGGCCGCTGCCTGGAGTGCAGGGCCAGAGCCTGGGTCAGCCTGGCAGCTTCCACACCCAGTGCCTTTCCTCCTGTGCTCCATGGGTCTGACTTTCTGATCCCACTGTCTGTAGCCCCAGTTTCGTCCTGTCTTCCCTTGGCTTCACTGCTGTGGCCTTTGTCACCGGCTCGCTGGCCCTCTGGGCCCCCGCATTCCTGCTGCGCTCCCGAGTGGTCCTGGGGGAGACGCCCCCCTGCCTCCCCGGAGACTCCTGCTCATCCTCGGACAGGTACTGGTGGGGCCGGGTGGCGCGGCTGGTGGCCTGCAGGTGGCAGGGGGGAGAGGGTGTGGGGCAAGGCCAGTATAGCTCCTGAGATACCTGAGGGGGTGATGTGGGGCCGGGACCCTGTGGCTGGGAGAGGCCTGGCCAGGGACCGTGTGGGCCAAGGGCCAAGCCCGGTGTCTCCCCTGTCCACAGCCTCATTTTTGGGCTCATCACCTGCCTGACTGGGGTCCTGGGTGTGGGCCTGGGTGTAGAGGTCAGCCGCCGCCTGCGCCGCTCCAACCCCCGGGCCGATCCGCTGGTGTGTGCCACTGGCCTCCTGGGCTCTGCTCCCTTCCTTTTCCTGGCCCTCACCTGCGCCCGCGGCAGCATTGTGGCCACCTATGTGAGTAGCAGCAGAGTAGGGGCTTTCCAGGGCTAGGATGGGGGAACTGTCGCTGGGCAGGCCTGGGGTTGCGGTGGTCCGAGGCAGCATGCCTGGTTTTAAGTCACAGCTGTGCCCTTCCCCGGTTTTGTCGTCTGTGGGACCGGTGGTAGCACCTGTCCCTTAGGGTGTAGAGAGGTGGGCCCCCGTGGCCGGTGAGCTGGCCTGTAGTAGACTGTGGCCGTGTTTGCCCTTGCTGTGCTGCCCCTTCCTCCTGCCCCTTAGATCTTCATCTTCGTGGGAGAGACCCTGCTGTCCATGAACTGGGCCATTGTGGCTGACATCCTGCTGGTGAGTAGCTGGAGCCTAAGGAGCTCAGGGAGTGGGGCAGGAGGCGGCTGGTCTTCCTGGCCCGGCCCTTGAGCGCCTGTCCTCCCCAGTACGTGGTCATCCCCACGCGCCGCTCCACCGCCGAGGCCTTCCAGATTGTGCTGTCTCACCTGCTGGGTGATGCGGGGAGCCCCTACCTCATCGGCCTGGTGAGCACTGCCCCTCGCTGGGACAGAGTGGGGTCTGGGGCCCTGTCCTCCATGGGCCTCTCACAGTTGGTCTTCTCCCTTGGGGCTGTGGGCCTCACCCTGGCAGTCCAGGCTGCCTTCCCTTCCCATGTGTAGGCCCCTCCCGGGCCACTCTGACTCCTGGCTCTGCTCCTGCAGATCTCAGACCGCCTGCGCCGGAGGTGGCCCCCGTCCTTCCTGTCTGAGTTCCGGGCCCTGCAGTTCTCTCTCATGCTCTGTGCCTTCATTGGGGCACTGGGTGGCGCTGCCTTTCTGGGCACTGCCATGTTCATTGAGGGTGATCGCCGGCGGGCTCAGCTCCACGTGCAGGGTCAGTGGGCCGCGCCGCGTCCCCTTATCCACATGTCTGTTTCTGTCCTTCATCCGGCTGCCCGGCCTGGGCATTCCCCGTTCCTGCTCTCCCCTCTTGGCTTCCCATCTGCCTCTTCCCAAGTGCTGTCCGTCTGTGTCCTCATTCTGGTGGCCCTTGTGGCCGCCCCGTCAGCCCTGCTCTGACTCTCCCACAGGTCTGCTTCCCGAGGCAGGACCCGCAGATGACCGCATCGTGGTGCCCCAGCGAGGCCGCTCCACCAGGGTCCCCGTGTCCAGCGTGCTCATCTGAGGCCGCCGCTCACTGCCTCTGGCCATGGGCCTCCTGGGAGGTGCCCAGACGAAACCCCTGGCCGGCCTGGCTTCTAGGAGTGAGCCCTGGGCTGTGTGCTGGCTCCCAGACTACGTGGATGGCTGGGACGCTGGGGCCTGGGAGGGGCGCCCCTCCGCTAGGGCAGCCCTGGGCTGGTGCTATTTGTAACAATAAAGTTTGTAGCCTGACCGTGCCTGCTTGCATCTTTCTCTGGGCCGTAGCGGCCTCTGCCCCTGCTGTAGGGAACTCCCCATCTCCAGCCTCAGGGCCCCTGTCTTCGGGTGAGTGACCCGAGAGGGAGTGCTGCTGCCCTCCCCTGAGCTGGCCCAGTGTGACCATGAATCACACTGTGAGCACCCGGCTGTGGCAGGAGCCTTCCTTGAGCTGCCCCTGGCTGGCGGGACTCTCACCTTCCCTCTGGACCTGCCGTGGGACCCTCTAGGGAGCTGGGGTGCCTCGGGCCTTCCCACTTCCCAAGGGGTGGGGGTGGGCAGGGGCAGTACAGCTGGCTGAGGAGTCTGATGATTTCCTGAGCTCACCACAGCTTCCTGCCGCAGAGGGGAGGCGGGCGAGCTGGGGTAGGGACCTCTGTCACAGGGACCTGGTGGAGGGAGGCTGGGGTGCAGGCTGCACAGCTGGTGGTAGATGCCCCAGGTCCTGGCCTCACCACTCCGGCCCAGGGTCTCCCAGAGCCAGTCTGACCCCCTCACCAGCCAGGGCTGGGGTCCGGGAGCCCCAGGAGGGCACAGCCTCGGCGTTGCTAGTGGGCCTGCCCTGGGCTGTCCTGCAGATGGAGGGGAGCAGCCTGGTCCTCACAGAGCCCCTGGGACTCCTGCTGCTGCCTCTTGTAGCCATGCTGCTGATGGCCCTGTGCGTGCGCTGCCGTGAGCTGCCAGGTAAGTGGGAACAGCCGGGTGCCTGCCGGGTGCTGGGCACACAGGGCCCCTCCGGCTCCCCTGCTGGGGCCCCCTCCACACTGTCCCGACCGCGACTGCAGGGCCTGACGCTCAACTCCTCTAGCCATGGCCCTGCCTCGCGGGTGGCCAGGGCCAGCTGCAGCAGAGGGTGGGCAGGTGAATGACTGCCCTCTCTCCGCAGACTCCTGTGGTGGTGCTGGCGAGGATCGGTGAGTGTGCCCCGTAAGCCCTGCAGGTCTTCCCTCTCCTGAGGCGGGCTGGGCCAGCCCTGAGGGGCCCATACCCAAGCTGTGTCTCTCCCTCCACAGTTTGCACACAGAGAGCATCCTGTTCAAGCCGCCCCGTGAGTGCAGAGGGTCTCCTGCCCAAGTTGGGGCCCCTGGGTGTTGGCTTGTGCCTTTGCATGGCCCCCCTCCAGGGCTGCCTGTGTGGCCTTGACTGGAGCTGGGGTTGAGGGGTGGGAGCCCCAGGCCTGGCCAGGGTGGGCTCCGAGGGTGAGTATGCCCCTGGAGGCCTTAGGTCTGGAGTTACTCTTCAAGGTTGGTTCTGTCCTCAGAAGCACTGGCCCCCTGGCCCATCCCCTACCCACTCCCAAGCCAGACGGACCTGCTGCACATCCCGTGAGTAGGGACCTCCACGGTCACGGCCTCAGCCGCCCCTCTGCACCCTCCCCTTCTGGGTGGGGGCTTCTTCCCCTGTGGCAACGCCTCGTGCCCCCAGGGCTCCCTCCCCAGAGTGACCCCTGACCTTCGGCTCCACACAGGCGCTCTCCACAGCCCCTCGGGGGTGCCCACCAGATGCCATCTTCCCGGCAGGACTCAGATGGGGGTAAGGGCGGAGGTGGACTCAGGGCTGGGGCTGGGCAGAAGAGGGCAAAGCCTGCGCTGACTCAGCCTCCCCCTTGCTCTCTCTCTGAAGCCAACAGCGTGGCGAGCTACGAGAACCAAGGTGTGTGGGGGCTGCCGTGCCAGGCGGGGGGGTCCAGGCTGGGGTCCGGGCTGGGCCCCGGGCCAGGCTGAGCCCTGTGTCTCTCCCAGAGCCGGCCTGCGAGGATGCAGACGAAGATGAGGATGAGGAAGACTACCCGAACGACGGCTACGGGGGCTACGTGTGAGTGGCCGGTGGGGGGTGGGGCCAGGGGCCAGCACCCCCCGCTCACCCTCGCCTCTCCCCCCAGGGAGGTGCTACCCGATGGCGCCCCAGCCCCCAGCAGCGGCGTTGACCCGGTGGAGGCTCCTGTACCCAGCAAGTCTGGCCTCCGGGACAGGGCCGTCTCTGGTGAGTTGGCTCCGCTATTCCTCCCGCATGTGCCTCCAGCCCCTCTCTTCCCTCCTATTTCTCTGACAATTGCACCTCTTCCGTTTCCTCCTTTCTGCTCTGATCTTCTGATTTTCTTAATTTTTCTCCCCCATTTCCTATCTGTCTTCCTTTTTATCTGTCATCTGGGAGGGCTCCTTGACTTATTCTTCAACCTTTCTATTGGGATTTTGTTTTTCCCGCCCAAAAGCTCTTTCTTGGTCTGTAAATGTTCTCTTTGGTTTTGTTATTGTTGTTATTGTGGTTGTGTTTTGAGACAGGGTCTCGATATGTAGTTTAGGCTGGCTTTGAACTTGCTGTGTAGCCCAGGCTGGCCTTGAAGTCACAGTGATCCTCCTGCCTCAGCCTCTTGAGTGTTGGGATTACAAATGTGCATCGTCACCATACCTGGCTTTCTGCATGTTCTTTTTATTTAGCTTCCTGTTCTTGTTTCATGGGGTAAAGTCATTTTGTCAATGTGTGATTAGAGGTGGTTTTTGTTTTTTCTTCCTGGAAGTTTTCTTTTGCTTCCTGCATGGTCTTAGTTCTCTTTTTCTTTCTTTCTTTCTTTCTTTCTGTACTGGGAATCAAACTTGGGTTCTTGAGCTTGCAAGGCAGGTAGCAGAACCACTGAGCTAAATCCCCAGCCCTGGTCTTCGTTTTCTTTTTGCTTTTCTCTCTCTGGTTTGATCTCATCTCCTTGGTATTCCTCAGTATCTGATCTTCAGTTTTCTGCCTCTCTCCTCTCTCTAGACATTGAATATCCCTTATCTGAAACAATTGGGGCCAGAAGTATTTCAAATTTTGGAAATTTTGAATACCCATAATGAATTATCATACGGATGGGACCCAAGTCTAACCCCAAATTCATTTATGCTTCACATAAATATTCACACGTAGCCTCGAGGTAACTTTGATGGTGTGGAGTTTCCCATTGGCAGCAGCATATTGGCACCGAAGAGGTTTCTGGGAGTCTCTCAGCCTGTCCAGATGTGCCCTTCCTGTCCCTTCCACGCCCTGGCTCCATCTGCCTCCCAGATTCCCCAGTTGCCTCTTTCCCACGCCAGGCTGCCCGGGTGCATCCATTACTCATCATTCGCAGCCTGTCTGCCGGGGATTGAGTTGTCGAGGCACTGGCTTCCTCCTGGAGCCTGCCCGTCCTGTCCAGAGTTCACGTGCCTGACTTGCTGCAGCTCCCGACCTCGGTGCTCTGTGCCCACTCCTCTCACTCCGTAGTCCTACCCTTGTATGGCAGTATTTGTTTGTGTATTGTCTTACTTATTCTTCTTGGGAAATTCTTCCTATGTTGCCTACTCCGGCTGTGAACCCTGGGGTGCAAGCAGCCTTCCTGCGCAGCCCCTTAGGTAGCTGGGACTCCAGGCGTGTGTCAGTGTCCAGCCCAGCTCAGGACTGCTTACTTAACACGTGTCGGCGCTGGCTGCGTGGCAGGCCCTGTTTTGTTATCCACTGCTTTATAATCCGCACAACAGCGTTGCAAAGTGAGTGCGGTTCCTAGCCATTGTGCAGATGAGAAAACAGGCACAGAGGGTAGGTGACGTGTCTGAGGTCACAGGTACTCAGTGCTTGTCTGGCTCCAGAGTCCACATCGCCCAGGTCTTCGTGGAGAAACAGTGACACTGGTGCTGATGCCATGCAGACCAGAAGGCGTGTGGGCCATGGCGGTCAGAGCGGAGGCCGGGCAGGACCTTGGGAAGGGTGTCCAGCCGGGCTGGGCATGTCGCTTCTCCCCCATGTGTGCCGCCAAGCCCTGCAGGGCTGAGCAGGGGCCTCCCGCTTTCTGGCCCTCTAGCTGTGCCTGGTAGGGAGCCTGTGCAGTCTACCTCTGGCCCTTGTCCTCCCAGCCATTGAGAGTCTCAGGGTTTCTGCCCCAAGGGCCTGGGGTCTGAGGTGGGGGACCTGTGGGGACCGGCGGGTGCGGGCTCTGGCGCTGGTGCTGGGCTGGGCTGAGCCCCATGCTCCCCTACAGTGGAGTTCCGGGAAGATTACGTGAACGTCCCCGAGAGTGAGGAGAGTGCCGAAGCATCCCTGGGTGAGTGGCGGGGCCGGGCCCCTGCGTCCTGCTGCCCCTGGCCGTGGCCTGGCCCGTCCGCATGGCCGTTCCTCTCTGACCTGTTTCCCAGACGGGAGCCGGGAGTACGTGAACGTTTCCCAGGAGCTGCAGCCGGCGGCCGGGGCCGTACCCGGTGAGTATGGGGTGGGGAGCCCAGGGGACCCACTGGTACAACAGCTACAGGCCGGCAGCCAACCTCTGCTCCCCACAGCCGCCCTGAGCACCCAGGAGGACGAGGACGAGGACGAGGACGAGGGCGAGGATGGGGACGCCCCGGATTATGAGAACCTGCAGGAACTGAGTTGAGTGCCGGTGAGTGGCGGCCTCAAGGACTGTCCCGGCCACCCCGTCCTCGCAGGCCCACCCTTCTGGCTCTGGGTGCCTGCAGGTCCCTGCCGATCTCCTGTCTCCTCCCCGTGTTGTGTTTCAGCCGAGGCCGCTGTCCCGGAACCAGCCTGGCTGGGATTGAGCTGGGCAGCTGGAAAAGCCCCAGGGCCCAGTGGGCACCCTGCCTGGGTGGTAGTCGAGAGCAGCCTGAGAACCCTCCCCTAACTTATTGTCACTCTGGGGTCCAGTCTGTGTCCCCAGTACCCTGCACCTTCTGACGCAGCCTGAGAACGAACTTCCCCGGCCCCAGCCTCCTCTTCAGAATGGAATAAAGGCCTCTGTGGTCCGCAGAGCTCTCGTGCCAGCTTGGGCCTGTGAGCCTGGCTATGTCCAGTGAGTGTGTGTGTGTGTATGAGAGTATGTTCTGAAGAGTGTGTTGTGAGTGTATATGTATGAGTGTGTGTGACCCTCATGCTCCCCGAGGTCTTGGCCAAGTGCTGTGTGACAGCACACGGTGGCTAGGACGCTGCCTCACCCAGGCCTGATGTGGCCACGGGGGCGGTGTCAGCAAGACCCCGCCCCCGCCCCCAGCCTCGTCCTTCCTCAGAGGAAAGGGCTGGCCTTTCGTGCTCCTCACTCCTGTGGTTCTCAGGAAGACAGAACTCACAGATGGCCTGAGCGAGCCAGGAATGCCTGTGGCCCCAGGCTGCTGTGGAGGCGGATGCCCGAGGACCCCAGTGTGGTCCAGGTTGGGCCCAGCCCTCTCTGTAGCACGGCGTAGAGCCCAGGGTGGTCTGCAGCTCTCTGGACTGTGAAATGCTCTCCCTACTTCCCCGGTACATGCTCTCCTGGCCTGACTGGCCCTGCACGTCAGGCAAGGCCACCACTGGACCTGGGCTCTGGCAGCCTGGGCTGTGAGGTATGACTGGGGGATCTGGGCAGGAAGTGCTGCAGAGGAGAAGCCTTTGTCCATGACTGTCACACAGCTGGAGGGGTCACCTCTCGGCCACTTGGGAATGAAGCCCCTGGGCTGGAGAGAGTGGCCGGAGCCAGGCAGAGCCAGCTTCCTGACTCCAGGCTCCAACCCCTGAGCAAGGACTCCACCCCTGGCTTCCTGGTCACCTGGGCCAATAAATTACAGTTCTGTGCAGCTTGGTGGCCTGGAGTTTCTTGCACTGGGACCAAAGCTGTGATTCTCTGTAGCCCTGCTGCATCTGCGCCATTCTCACTAAATCACCCGGTGTGCTGAGGTCATTAGAGCCCATCGCACTGGGGAAGAAGTGGCCCAGTGAGGGGTAGTACCCTGAGTGTCCCTCTCTGAGGTGTTCAGGAGCAGAACTGCTTGGATTTCTGTTTTTTGTTTGTTTGTTTGTTTTTTCTTGGTACGGGGAATTGAACTCGGAACCTTGTGCTTGCTAGGAAGGCGCAGTGCCCCTGAGCTAAATCCAGGCCCTTATATGTTTTATTTTTTAAGACAGTGTCTCGCTAGATTGCCCATGCTGGCCTCAAACTCACGACCCTGGGCTCAGCCTCTGGAGTGTTGGCTTGAAGCTGTGGCCAGCATGGGAAGTCTGGTGTGGGCTTCATCTTGAGGCAGGTGCGGCTCAGACATGAAGTCCCCCATGGTCCCATCCACTGCGCACACGGCCTGGAGGTGCTTTACAGTCTTCCTAGTGGCTGCCCGTAAGGCGGGTCAGATTCTCCTCGGTGGCATCGGTCAGTGGTCAGTGTTTTGGACGTGGAGCACTTCAGGGTAGAGCCTGGGATTAGGGATGCTCAGCCTGGATCTGTCATCTGGGACACACACAGCTAGCAGTGCCAAGGAGGTGTAGGAGTGAGGAATGGTACTGCAGGGTGGCAGGATCCTCTGCTGGTAGGACTGGAATGGGAGGAGCTCGGAGAGGCCTCTATGAAATGTGCAGGGAGGAACTGGGTGCCGCACTCACCTGGCCTGTGTGAGGCTCTGGATTCCATCCTCAGCACTGAAAAAGAATAGCGGGGTGTGATGCCGCTTGCCTATGATCCCAGCCCTCAGGAGGCTGAGGCAGGAAGATTGCAGTGAGTTCCAGGCCAGCCTGGGCTACATAGTGAGACCTTGTCTCAAAAAGACAAGAAAAGCCAGGTGTGATGGTGCACACCTATAATCCCTGCGCTGTGGGAGGCTGAGATGACTGAGGGGAGGTTGAGACCAGGCTGCACAATTTAGCAACTCAGAAATAAAGGAAGGACTGGGTCCAGTCCTCGATACTGCCTCTAAATACATTCATAAATAAATGTTTCTGAAAGTGCAGTGGCAAGAGGGAGCTATACGAATGTTTATTTTCTTTAAATGTTTCTTTAAAATGTTTATTACTTATTTTGGTTTTTTTCTCTCTATGTAGTCCAGGCTGCCCTTGAATTTATGGTAATCCTCCCGAGTGCTGAGATCACGGGTGTACACCACTATGCCACATTTTTTTTTTTTTCTATTTGAGACAAGATCTTACCGTGTAACCCAGGCTGGCCTCAAATTTGCAATGATATGCCTGCTTCAGGCTCCTCAGTGCTGGGATTACAGGTGTGTGCACCATGCCCAGCTCTTTAATTTTAGGTCTGAGTGATTTCAAAATAACTGAGATCAAGGCCCTGGGAGGGAATGGGTAGGGACAAAAGATGTGGTATAGGCTACTTTCGCAAAGAGTGAGCAATAGGCCAAAGTCACTGGTTGCTTTCTGCCAGCCAGGTGGCTGAAATGTCTGGCACATGCAAAGATCCTGAGGTGACTGAAGACCTTGCAGATGTTGCATGTTGTGAGACTGCAGGAGGTACAGAGGTGAGAATGGGCAGAGATGGGGCTGAGCGGGCGTGGAAACTACCCTGGGGCCCATGGGCAGTCCCTGGAGGCTTCAGAGCCAAGCATGATGGGGTCAGTTGGTGTTTTAGCAGACAGCTCTTGTGTGGTTGGTGGGAGGATCAGTGAGGAGGACTGGGAGCTCACCAGGAGGCTGTTGGAGTGCACATCCGGGACCACAGGGGTGGCCCGGCTGTGGGCTGGGAATCACAGGGACAGCTTGGGAGGGGGTGTCCCGGTGCTGGAGAAAGAGGGGAGGGAGGAGAGACAGGAGGAGGGGACAATTCTCTGGGGCTGCTGGGAAGACACTGGGACATCCAGCTGCTTCTCAGAGCCAGTGGCTTGGAGACGTGGGTGCTCCCAATGTAGCCAGCAGACGTCCCGGAGCCGTTTGTGTGGGAGGAGGGTCCCAGAGGGTGGTGTGGGGGGTGAGGGGGCAGGAAGGCAGCCGGAGGGCACCTGCAGGGCACCGGGCCTTGCCACTGCTGCTCCCGCCTTGATGTGTCCCGCTGGCCTGGCCTCCCTGGGCTGCCCTCCTGCCCTGGCCTTGCTCTGGCAGAGGAGCATAGCTTTTAGTCCCAACTCTGCCACTGGACTTCTTTGGGGCTCTGGGACCTGAGAGGGTTGGACTGAACCTGTAAAAGGTTCTCACCCAGAGGGCGGCGCGATCACACTTCCGGCACAGGCCTTTTTCTGCGGCCCGACTTCAGGACCTCCCCGTGTGCGTGGAGGTGGTTCAGGGCCCGGGCCATACTCTTGTAGGTTCCCCCATTCACGGGGACCAGAAGCCCCAGCACCCCCGAGGAAAGCCCCGGAGCTACTCTCTTTGGGCCGGCTTGAGACACGTGGCTCCCCTGAGCCAGTCACTGGCCGGGAGGACATTGCTCTGAAACTGGATGTCATGGTGCATGGCTGTAATTCTAGCACTCTGGGAGGCTGAGACAGGAGAGTTTCATGCCCAAGCCCCACGTAGGCAATTTAGCAACTTGAAGAGAACCTGTCCCAAAAGAGGGTGGAGGTGTGGGGATCCGTCCCCTGGGTTCCATCCCCAGTACTGGAAAAGAAGAAAAGAAAATTTCGGGGCTATTCCAGAAGCGGGCAGGGCTGCTGAGGTGCATTTATTCTACATTTACTGTGTGTCGTACTCACCGCGCCTTCTTGGGAAATTAGGCTCACTTTGGGGTGGGGGGAGGGAGGGCGAGTACGGATTTGAAGCTGGTGCCAAGGAAGAGATGGAGGGCGGCTTCTGCGTGGGGCGGGTCTCCTAGGACTCTCAAGAAGGAGGCTGGTGCTCTGCCTCTGCTGGGACAGCTCGGCAGGGAGGTCCGGGCAGGAGGGGCCCCAGCCCTGGAGAAGGGCCCGGGAGAGGGGAGAGGGAGGTCCTGCATCGGCCACTCAGCCCCTCTCCGGCTCGGCTCACACAGGCACCGCGGGAGTCGCTCCACCAGGGCGGCCTCCTCAGCGCCTACCCGAGCCCACGACTCTCCGTCCTGTGCTCTTCTCAAGCTGCCCCTGCACAGACGGGGAAACTGAGGCTCAGCGAACACGGGGCCGCACTCGGCTGTCCCTGGGGTGGCCCGGGACCTGCTGCCATCGGTCCTCCACTTCCGGCCTCCCAGCTCCTCTTTCAGTCCCTCAGCACCCACACACCCACGTCCCCTCGCCCTCTTCCCTCTGTGCTTTCAGTTTGGCCTCCCTGCCTCCGCCTGTCTCTTCCGTCTCTGTGCCTCAGGGTCGTCCTCATTTCCGACTCTTGTCTCTGACCCTGGTCTGTTTTTGTTTGTCGTATTGGTGACCAAACCCAGGGTCTTCGTGCCTGAACTCCATTCCAATTGGTCTTTTTTTTTTTTTTTGAGACAGGGTCTCACTATGTAGTTGAGACTGACCTGGAACTCACTATGTCGCCCAGGCTGGTGTCAAACTCCCAGCGATCCTCCTGCCTCAGCCGCCGGAGTGCTGGGGTTGCAGGCGTGCGCCACCACACCTGGCCCAACTGGCCTTTTCGATTTTGTTTTGAGACAGATCTCCCTAAGTTGCCAGGTTGGGTTAGAACCTTCAATCCTCCTGCCTCAGCCCCCTCAGCAGCGTGGGTGACAGGTGTGTGCTGTCACACCAGCTTCTTGTCCTGTTTTTCTCTCTTCTTTGTCCTTTTTTCTGCATCCCAATGCTCGCTCTTTGCTCAGGAGCCCTGTCCCTGTCTGTCCCTGTTCCGTCTCTCTGTTCCTGTCCCAGTCTCTGTCGCAACTGCCGTCTTTCCCTTGTCCCCACCCTGTCTCTGATCTCTCGCTGTCCTCTCCCTGCCCCTCCCTCCCCACATCCTGAGTTGTCTTTGGGGAACCGGAAATTTGGGGGATCACAGAGATACCGGGAGGCTCAGCTGCTGTGCCCTAGATAGCGGAGTGGAGGTGCGGGGGAGGGTGGGGCCTGAGGTCTGGGGTCTCCGCCTCCTGCCCACTGGGGCACGGAGGTGAGGGTCCCAGTCGCTGGCCGCAGCTGCTCTGTTCTCGAGAGGGTGCTGGGGAGTGCGGTGGGTTCGGGGTGCAGCGCCCCACAGTGAGGATGAGTGGTGATGGGGCACAGAGATGCAAGGACGGGTGGCAGGATTTTAGCCAGTTGTAGTGGCACAAACCTGTAACCCCAACACTCAAGAGGCTGAGGCAGGAGGATCACAAATTCAAGGCCAGCCTGGGTTGCACAGTGCTATTACAGGCGGCTAAGCTGGGAGTTACTGTACAGTCAGAGAGAAGAGGGACTGAACCCTCCAGGGAGTCCACATGAAAATAAAGACGGCAGAATTGTGCTGGAGGCATCAGAGGCCAAAACAGTGCCTGGGGTTAGACTGTACCGAGTCTCACCACAGCGAGGGACAGGCACCAGCTCCTCCCCGAATGCCTCTGCTCTTTCCACATTAGAAGTTACAGGCTAGCTGAAGTTCACAGTACCCACCATCAGCCCTCCCCAGGTGTCTGCATTCCTGTTGGATCAGCATAGCTAAGCAATCTTATTTTCAAATTGTTTATTTTTGGTGTTTTCAAACAGGGCCTTGCTAGTAGTTCAGGCCGTCCTTGGACTCAGGGTGAGTCTCCTGCCTCAGCCTCCTGAGTACTGGGAGTCCAGTTGTGCCACCACGCCTGGCAGCGATGTTTTTGGTTGATGGCAGTCCGAGCCACTCTATACCCATGTGTGACTTTGCTGTATAAGTTACTCCCAACACAGGGCCTCGGTGGCTGCCTGTCTGCTGTTTGGTCTGTGGAATTTGGTTTGGGAGCTCGGACTGGGAGGGTAAGGTGCAG